TCCCGCCTGGGGCAGCTGCATGCGCTGCTGTTGCTGCTGCGCCTTAGGAGCTGCCTGTACACCTGAGTCAAATGCGTTGCTTAGCCCTTCTTTCTTATTTTTAGTTCTTCTCACATCCAGCACTTTGCAACGAACAGAAGATAGCCTTCATAGTCTCTCGAAAAGAGGAAAACGGCCAAAGAACAACGCAGCAGCGATGCCCCCTGTGCATACTAAGTCCCTAAACAAGTGTAAGAGGAGCCCTCAGTATTATAAATTAGCCCCCGTGAGTTACAAAAACGAAAACAAAAGAAAAATAAAAAACCCCAAGAGCCGTTGAAGCCCCCTCCAGTCTACACGGGCCCTGGGTAAGCCACTGCAGTACAAAGGAGAGGAGAGGACCCAGGCTCTTAGGAGTTGTTGGGTTGCAGCTCGCTGATACTCCTGCAGTATAGCAACACCATGTGCATCCATGCACAACTAGCCCCTTGATGCATGCAGTAGCACTGAGGACAACTGCTACAAAGGCACTGCAGCGAGAGGCCGTGACACCGAAGAAAACTGCTGAAGAGGCGCTTGGCCATCTGTAGCGAGAGTCCTTAGCCGTAGTATAGGAATGTATAGGCTGCAATAGAGTCAAAGACGTAAGACAAATTCCCCGGAAATATTTAGCCTCGCCTTCAGTCTCCAGCCTTCTCGGGGACAGCGCAGAAGGGCCGGGAACGGGTGAGGAGCAGGGAACTGCTGAGCTTGCTGCAACGCGTGCTACGGGGGGCCCTCAGATGCGAATATCCCCTAGCCCGCGTTTAGTCCATGTGCTAGCACTGGAAACAGTTGCTAAACAATTACTTTGCCCTAAGTAGCCAACCTGCACCCATGCAGTGATGCACGTAACGACGTCAGGCGGCGCATTCTACACCTTAACAGTAGCCGACCTGCACGTGTGTAGAAGTGCATGCAACAACGTCGGACAGAGCCTCCTCCTCCGGCCTGCATTTATCTCTAAGCGCAGCAAATGCTGGTACCCATATTTGCCCATATAACGGTGTGTATGTCGAGGAAGAGCAAGGGGGTGCGATTGGGGCCAGATATTCGAATACAGAGGAGTAAGAGAATCATAACAAAGGAAAGAAACGATTGCATGCCTTTTCTGCTCGCCGCGGTGCTGCCGACCAGAACTTCTCCCCGGCTGCCCAGAACATTAAGAAGGTCAACCAGCGCGCTCATTGACGCGCGCGCCTCGGCCTGTACCTGCATGCTGATGCAGCCATCCATCCGTGCACAACGGAAGAGCAGCAACAGCTGAGCATGCCTGAGTTAGGGCCAGAACCAAGCGGGGATCTACTTGATATGGGAAGAAGAAACGAGATCGTTGTCTGCGGCGCCGCCGAAGTAAGCCTTGACAACCTTTAGTTTAGAGAATGCAAGCGTCGGTGGGATCTGCAGCCTAATTCTCTGCCTGCCGTCCGTTCCCGCTTATAATCTTCTGTTTTTGGGGCTCCTACTCACAACCCCAATATCCATAGGCTTCACCTGACGGTCGTTTGCAAACCAACTTATTTCCTTCTCGGCTAGTAAGGCCCGATGCTTACGCACTCCGGCAGCTCAACAAACTCCACCTGTTCACCCATTACTTCCCTCTCCGCTGCCCAACTTGTTACGGATTGCCTCTCTTCAGGGGCAGCCTTGCAGTGAATTACTGCTATAGCATATCCGAGCATCTCCGAGTTCATCGTGGTACTTCTGTTCACCAAGGAATGATACTTTTCGATGTAGCGCTCTATCGACAGCTTCTCTGTTTAAGTTTTCTTCGTTTCGCCGTTGCCTGTTCCCTTGCCGAGCTGGATACAAACAGAGATTGAAACGAATCTCGTGAAGCATCCATACACCGCATCTGCACCGGAAAGGTGGTACCCTTGCTAAGATATGATTACCGTTTTCGTGCCTCCCCTTCTAATACATAAGTTACCATTCGCCGCCGGGCACTCATATGGGCCAACAAGCCACTCCATTGTCCCCCCCGCTCGGCGTCCACCATATATTAACTCTCCATAATGGCAAAAGCACTCTTTGCGAGTTCTCTTTTGCGCTGGATAATATGCGGATACTGCGCGCGTCCAACTCTGGTCAGACACTCAGCTGCTAGTTTTAGATCCTGTTAGATTTCCAGTTTGCTGGAGCAGGAGAAGGCTAAATTTTTGAGGGATATTTTAGAGATAACATGTATAGATATTCACCCAGCAGGGGTTACAGTAAGGCGCTTTGCAACAATAGGACTCATGACAGCCCGTTGCCTGTCTTCGCTGACGAGCCTCAAGCTCTTGTGGCGTTGCGCCCAGATCGCTGGAGAACTGAACTGGGGGTCAGCTGCTTTTAGGTACCTCTATCAAGAGGAAGGACGCTCGTCACAGCTAGTAGCTTCACCTGGTCCATCGGGGAAGGTGCTGCCTGCGAGCCCTGCCTTCATGTGCCTCCCCGCTGCAGCAGCAGATACCAGATCGGCTTCGCTGCCTGTGTCAGGTGGAGCTATCAAATCCTGGCCATCAACACAAACATGGAAAAGTAAACATTTTGCTGTATGTGGGCGGAGCTGCAAGAGCCAACACTCTGTCGGACGAGTTACACCTCACCTTGCTGCCGCTCATGCTGCAGGGCAGCCCCGCATGCAAGCACATCAAAGCCCCAGTTGCTGCATGCACTATCACTGTAGAGAAGCGTCGATCACTTAGCTTAGCGCTTACTAGCCAGCGTGCAGAGTTTCTTATACACGTACCAGTCTCGTACGTATGAGCATTAGTACTAGTATAATGAAACCAATATGAAAAATTATAGAAGAAAGATGTTAAAAAAGTAAATTTATTTATTTTATATTATATATTTTAAGCAAGAAAGTCTATACGACGATGCGCTGCACGCCTCTGTTGCGGTGATGACTCGCTGCAACAGCCTAGCAGGCCGGCTGCCCCGCAGCAGTTTATTAGAGCTCGTGAGTGCCCCCAGCATTTGCAATAGAGCAGAAATTGTTTCGGTTTGTATTTTTGTTGAGCAACACAGAAGTATTTTGTTGCTTCCGCAGCAAAAGCAGCAGCAGCAGCAGCAGCAGCAGCAGCAGCAGCAGCGGCAGCCCCGAAGCAGCAGCACAGGCTGCTGCAGAGCCGCCTTACTGTGCGGCCTTTCTGCAGTTGTTCTTTAAATTATTTTGTAGTAAAAGGCGTATCGAGCTGCCTATATGAGGTTATTACCCCTCATCTTTTGTGTTTATTAGCAGCAGCATAAACAGCAGCAGCAGCAGCAGCAGCAGCAGCAGCTATAGAGCAGCTGCCGCCGCTGCACGTACAACGGGGCCCTGCTCTGTCGCACCCCTTAGGGGATCATGTAGTTCTTCTTGCCTCTGCTGAGGGCGTGAGAAGAGATAAGTTGTTTGGGTTATTTTGTCTGGGAGTAGTAGCAGTCGGGCAGCAGCAGCAGCAGCAGCAGCATCACCCGCAGCAGCAGCAGCAGCAGCAGCAGCCGCAGCCGCCGCAGCAGCAGCGCCAGTAATTTCATCATGAAGAAGCGTGCTGAATCACCTCAGGAGACAACTGCAGCAGCAATTGGGCCCCCTGAACTCGCCTTTCTCCCTGGTGTGCCGCGCCCCGAAGGGGGCATCGACAGCAGCAACAGCAGCAGCAACAGCAGCAGCAGCAGCAGCAGCAGCAGCAGCAGCACCAGCGGCCGCCACCAGGAGTATCTGGAGACCTGTGCCTCTCCCTTCCTCTCTGAATACAGGGCAGCCGCCATTGCTGCCCTCAGTGGCTTCGTAAACTCCGCTCTAGCAGCAGGGGGAGCAGCAGCAGCAACAGCAGCAGCAGTGCCGCAGAGACTCGCATCCCTTGCTGCTTCAGCTGGCCTGCCTGCTGCTGGTGAACCCGAGGAGGAGGTGCAGCAACAACCGCAGGAGGAGGTCGAGCAGCAGCAGCAGCAGGAGCAGCAGCAGCAGCAGCAGCAGCAGCAGCAGCAGCACTTGAGTTTTGCCGAGTCCCTGCCGTGGCGTTGTCCCTTTCATCACCCAGAAAGCCAGCAGCGGAGTACAACAACAACAGCAGCAGCAGCAGCAGCAGCAGCAGCAGCAGGTGTAGGGCCTCGACGAGGAAGACACCTGCATCGTGGCCTCGGTCCTGGGAGCAGCAGCAGCAACCGCAGCAGCAGCCGCAGCAGCAGCCGCAAAGGGCCCCACCGCCGCCACCGCATTGCAGGCTGGCGCTCATACAGCTCGCGTCCATACAGCAGGCCCCGACAGCAGCAACAGCAGCAGCAGCAGCAGCAGCAGCAGCAAGGAGGTCTGTGGTTTGGCGACATCTCTCTTAGCTTTGGCTGCCCGCTCTGTCTCGCTATTTCTTTGTCTGCTGCAGCACGAGGCCGTGCGGTGCATGCAATAGACACGTGCATAAGCAGCGTACAGCAGCAGCAGCAGCAGAAGCAGCAGCAGCAGCAGCAACAGCAGCAGCAGCAGCAGACA